TCGATTAATTTATATGATGCTAGTTAACATATTAGTATATGTTTTTAGGCTTCATTTTCACAAACTGTAAATCCCAATTAAAGGTGAGAAACACCAATTTTTGTGCTGATAAATGCTTTGGGATTGTTTGTTTAGAGGAATCATAAAAAGCAGTTTGCGAAAGAGAAAAGGAATTTTTTGAAAAAAGAAGAATAAAGATAAGGTGGTAGGGGGTTTGTTGAGAGGAAGGGGAGAGGGAGGAGAAGGAGGTTGGGGGAAAAAACAAGAACTACACTCTTTATCCACACATTATTTGCAACTAAAATCTTACCTGCTATAAATCAAAAAATTTTTTTCAGTTCAATTGTTTAAACCTAATTTTGAAGGAGCTATTTTTTCAACTTAAGTTTCTTTTTCAAATTACAAAATACACTTTTTTCTCTACAACTTTGGATATCCAAATAATTTAATAAAACGGACCAAAAGATTTTAAAAACTATTTGCTTTGGCGCTAACGGTTATCATCATTCCAGTAGTTCTCAGAACACTCACTGTTACTGAAAATTGAAACGGTCTTCAGTTCTCAAAAAAATTTATGGATGGCTTAAAACTATGAAATCCTGTCATCATGCTGTGAGCATTTCCCTACAGTAATTTCCACCAAAAAGCACACGTGCAGAGATTTAGTAAGCCGCACATCGTACCTTTCAACTTGTAGAAAAAACTATTAAATCTAGACCGCCACTGATAAGCGCAATGTCAAGTTTTTTTCCTTTATCACTTATCTACAAAAAAAAAATCCCTCGAATTTTTCAAGAAAAATTGATTCCAACAAATATTAGAAACCGTTGTTTAGGTGCAGTTGAGCGATGAGAAAAGTCAGAGAGCGGCAAAAATTGTCACAGTCCTTATTGTAATAATTTGGTGTGGAAACTGCAAATTTTCGGAATGCAAAGCCATCTGTAGACAATAACATTTCAAAGGAGTCCAATTTCTGACGTACTATTCAGTCTATGAAGTCGCCGGATGGACCATTATGAACTGATCCAATATACAACAAAATCACTGTTCCACGCTTACCGTTACTGCGCTTTGAACTGTGGATCAAAGCAGGAAATAATCGAATATTTTGATGGAACTGGCCAGAAACTTTTTTGCTGTCAGTTTGCTACTATATTTTTCAGTTTTAGTTGTCTGGTGCAGTACTATTTAAAAATGAACATTTTCTTCAGCAAAATATTCAAAAAGAATCCGTTTTAAATTTGAATCTTTTTTTTTGCTGAATGCCAGCGCTGGATCAGAATTACGTGCATATCCTTATTTCCTCTGTTTATTTATTTTTAGCAAATGAGCCCTTGGCTTTTTATTGAAGTTATCGCAATTGCTCCATTTTCTGGTATTACATTTCGGCAAATGAAAAAAAATTCTTAATGCTACCAGAAAAATGGAAAATTATTTTTCTTAGGAAATAGTTTTTGTCTAAAAAACGAGGCTTTTTAACTTTAGTTCATGGTTTGAGTCTTATTCACCTCC